GTATAAATAAAAATCGACGGATCGGCCTATCATCGCCCTTACACATTCACCACTCCCAATCCCCATTCCACGCACAGATTGTTTACCTCTTGGTTTACCCCGTGTTCGCAGTCTCCCGGACGACGAAGATTCTATACGCCGTCCGACCAATCACGTTCAAGATCAGCGGGGCTTGGCCGCGGTTCTCGAACGCCATTGGCCAGATTACGCAGAATCTTCGTCGTCAGGAAAACTGTGAACACGGGGCTACATTTTTCGCTATGGTAACAAAAGCGCCAGAATTGACTACCAGAATTGGATCCGAAGGTCAAATGGGTCACGTGACTGTGCAGTTCTGATGGACAACACCTGGTTATACCCACCCTCGAGCTAATCAACTTTTCACATTCCGTGGAAAGTTCATGATGTTCAGCTTACCCATATAATATTTGACCTGTGACCTGTTTGTCAAGACTAGCTTTTTATTATAGAATTATTAAGAAGCCTACATTCTCCCTTTTGGAAGGAAACTGCACGTTTCCGCACTTCTAGTTCTAACTATGGAGGGTGCAATTCTACATGCATATGCAAGCAGTCCTTACCTTCATTTTCATTTTACACTGTTCATTGCAGGTGACCTCTGCCGGGTCTAAACGGGGCCATTTGAGAACCAAGACCACGTTTTACATGTGCTGCACATTGTGACCTCGCTCTGTCGCGGGTAGCAATAACTCCAGAATGGCCCCAGGAATATAGTTACTGTCGGCTAAGGAAGCACACTGGTGAATGAGCCAGTCGCGCATTCAACATGGATAAGTCCGGTAACAGCAGTCAGCACATCGTTCTAGCATCGATCTAGTATCCCGTTATCAAAAGTTATCGAGTTAATATACTGAGCTAGCCTAACGATGAAGTTTTATGATCTCACAAGTTGCAAGCCTGCATAAGGTGAGATCAGGGGGCATTTTTATAATTTAGTTTTCAATAGACAAAAGATTTTCAATAAGTTTACGGACAGTATTCGTCTTACATGTATTCGTTTATGACGCCATGTGCTCAACTGCTCGCTTGTCACTTGAATGGCACTAGTCCATGAATCAAGTTTCGCCTCAATTCGTGCTACCTGAACACTGCGGCGGCAGAATATGCGCCATAGCTTCGTATAGCTGCAGTGGCTTTCCCCGTGTCGGGTCGGTGTTTGGGAGCGGCAGTCATAAAATAACCTCCCAGCGGGCATGCCAATACCTGCGTCAAAATGCTACGTGACTAAGGATAGTTTATACGTGAAACGTTGGCTAACGTGGGGTGCTGCACCATTAAATCAATGTCGGAGGGAACAACTAAGGCGAACATTCTGTGTAGCCTGGATACTGGACAGTGGACAGCACCCTGGCTCAGCGAGGAAAATAGGCAAGCTGTACAGTGTACACGCGGTAAATGAAAGTATATCACGAGAGGGTCGACTTTACACTTAAACCGGTGCTAATGCACTGCGTAAACTGATTTAGCGGAGTTCCTAGAATGGCATGTAGGTATACAACTGGACATAACGTTTAATTTATGTGAAGGCATACCTAGTCAGAGTGAAAATCCATTTGTGCACAGTGAAGGCAGTGCAAGAATAATTTCTTGGAGTAGGCCTATGTTTCATTAGCTATGGCTCTATTTCTGAAACTCATGCTTTATTACGGAGCGAGCGAAGCGAGCGTAGTCCTTCCTTAGATTAACGGAAATTTCTGAGTATGAGCGGCCGGCCGACCGGCCGTGCGGACGTTTTTGCGAGGCTTATATCTCAGCAACCACTTGACCGATTTACATGCGGTAATTTTTGTAGGGTAGCTTCATTCCTTCTACCAAGTATTGGACTATTCCCGATGCATGTGGGTGACCCCTTATGCACGTGCCACGTGCAAAACGAAGAGGTGTCAGTTTTGTAATTGTTGCAATCTCTCGGTAACTACTTGGCCGATTGCGCTGAAAGTTGGCATGTAGGTAGGCACCCACTGGGCAATGCATATCCATGTGCCAGAGTTGGGGTGCTGCTGCACGTGCGCACGTGCAGGGGTCGATTCCAGTTCTCGAGAACGGCTAAACCGATTGCGCTCAACTTTGGTACACAGTTAGGGACCGGTTAGAAGGGTGCCGTACAAAAGTCAGTTGGGACCCATTTTGCACGTGCGCACGTGCAGGGTGCTGCTTCCAGATCTCGAGAATGGCTGGGCCGATTGTGCTCAAATTTGGCACATCGCTAGAGACCGCTTAGTAGGGTGCCGTGCACAACTCAGTTGGAGGTACCCTCTCGCAATTTCGCACGTGCAAGGCTCACCCTCTCGCTCGCTCCGTTAGTAGCCCCAAAAGGCGTTGTACTGGTGAATGTATTTTCAGAGTCAGTGGAATGCGGCACCCCATCTGTAATACAGGTGCAAGTCCGCGCAATAGCTCGGGGTTTTACAGCAATTAGCAGAGGGGCACAAAGAGGGTCGCCACTCGCCTCACTGCACCGTGCACATGTGCCACTCCGATGAGCCGCCACTACCACAGTGACCTACATCTCAACAGTCAACATCGCTTCAGGAGCGTTACCATCGGCTACCACAACTATCATGGGAAGCTGGCACCTACGGTCGCCATTCACCAGTCTTGTTGGCCGTATAGACATCATCTTCGCAGGGGATGGGACCTTGTTCCCATGCTGGTTGATCCGGGCTTCATTTTTTATAGCTCTCCATGTGACTTAATGTTCCCCTAGTTCAACTTTAATTTATCATTAGCAAGGCATGATAAAAGTTCCCGAAAGTGATCACGATTTATATAGCCAAGGCCTGATTAAACGTGCTCGAAATTGATTTCTTTTTTGGACTGTCAGCCCTTTTGGTAAAGACGCAACAGAGAAGATGGTTGGGTTGGTATAGTGGTAGGGGAGAGTGGGGAAAGACGCCCAGGGTTTTACTATGTCTTATATTATTCGAAAATAACGATCGGAAAGCAAAAAGTTGGAGTTTCAACGGAAGCCGACATCATTTTTCTCTAAAAATATGACACTTTCGTGCCTGAAATATGATAACTTTTTTTGCTATTAAGCATTTTCCTGAAGAAGTGAAAGGGGGCATCTTACCCCACAGGGTGGGAAAGACGCCCCCTGGCGTTGGGGAAGATGCCCCCTGCACTATAAGTGGCATAAATGGGCACGTGAATCGCCTGAACGAATCAGTAGTCCCTTCGAGACTGCAGTAGACACCAAACGTCATCGTAAGGACCCTCAAAAGTAGTTGTAAGGGGCTTCAGAGGTCATCGTTAAGACCATCATAATCCAGCGCGGCCAAACAAGCCTCCGTGGTGGCGTTCGGAGACCACTGTGGGGCCCTTATAGGTCTTCATGATGCTTGAGGGCCCTCGAGCCCATCGTGGGGACCTCAGATGCCAGCGCGGCCCGTGGAGCCAACGTGGGAGCCCTCAAAGGATGTCGTGAGGGGCCCTGGAGCCAATAATGGGGCCCACAGAGGCCGTCGTGAGGGCTCTCAGAGTCAGATGCCGCCCAAAAAGTCGCTGTGTGTGCCGAGAGACCGGCATGGGAGCACCCGACCGTACTGGGCTCTCAATAGTCCCAGATCGGCTTTTGTCTCTCATCACAAGTATGTAATACTATGATTTGACGGGCTGCTTGAAGGACAGCCTACGGATTTAGGGGGGCGTCTTTCCCCATCAGGACAGGGGGCATCTTACCCCAAGGTACCGAAGCAACATTAAATCAGTACAATTTGTTAGCCATAAAACTACACCCTGAAACAAACTGTTCGGGACACAGTACACGCATGTTAATGTATCACGACTATAGCAAGGGACTCAAAAATTATATACCTTCTTTGATATTTACAATGTTTTGACACCAACATATTTTTTGAAAGTAGCAAATAAAAAACATGCAATCATCAGCCAGCCGTTGCCCAACTGAGCTTCGCAAATTTTTGTGCAGTTAACAAGGCAGGCTTCCCCTTAACGCTAAGAACATTAATTTCCAGGTTCGATTCTTTGTTTCGCCGCTAGAGGGGGTGGGGCGTCTTTCCCACCCTGGGCATCTTACCCCACTCTCCCCTACCTGTGCCCCGGAGAACGGGCACGGGTCGTTTGACGGGAGGGCGGGGGACACTCTAAACTGTGAGGTGGTGAGAGGACATAGGGGGACGATCGGACCGTTATCTTTGTTCAGGTGACGGGGAATGGTGAGGGGATTGTCGGAGCACCGCTCGCAGTCTGTCAGCAGCCGCGGCCCACCCAGGGGCGGCGGACTTCTCTCCGTCGCCACCTCACCTCCTCCAACGCGGCGCAGTCATTTGTCTCTCTTCGGGCGCAGTTTACGTTGTCGGCGCAGTTCCGTGTTTTGGAGGGATCTCGTTGCGTTGTCTCCCCTCGCCACGCGCACCGCCCGCTGCCCCGGTAGGGACGCTGTGTCGCGCCCCAGCTCCCCCGCGCCGCCTGTCGTGACCTCTGACCCTTCGGACGGCCTCAGGCTCACCCCGAGTTGTGCGGGTCAGCGGGATCAAAAGGCTGTCAGACACTGCACTGGTGTGGCGGCGAGGAAAGGAAGGACGAGTGGCGGCGGTGGTATCGGGTCCGGTAAAAACGCGCACCAGAGCCCGTCCCTCTCTCCGTTCCCCTCCGTCCCTCTCTCCGCTCTCCTCCGTCCCTCTCTCCGCTCTCCTCCGTCCCTCTCTCCTGTCCTCCCACCTCCTGCTGCAGTGACACAGACTGCTGTAACTAGTGACTCTTCATGTGTGATTATGTCCTGTAACAGACTGTTGTATTGACTTAAGCCTGTAACAGACCGCTGTAGTCACTAATAGCCTGTAACAGACCGCGGTAGTGACTTAAGCCTGCAACAGACTGCGTTAGTGGCTATATAGCCTGACACTCTGTTGTAGTGTCTACACAGCGTGTAACAGACTACAGTAGTGATTCTATATCCTGTAACAGACTGCGCTAGTGTCCATCGCTTGTAACAGACTGCTGCAGAAGAGACGGTGTCATGTCCAGGCGATATTTATTGCAACTCTGACACCAGGTCCCGGTAGCCCTCCATCATCTATCGGCCCACACAACAGACCGTGACGTCATCGGGGCAGCACCCAGCGGCAACTTCACACCAACCCATATTGAGCAGCGCATTACAACACTGAAGCAATTACGAACACCGAGTGAACAATCAGCCATCGCGCAGACACACGCTATAAAACAGAGTTGGCGACAAATATCGCGCAGGAGTGCCATAACGCAGCAGACAAGGCGCACTCCTGTGTTGCAGTACGCCGTACATTGAAGACGAATTCGTTAAAGGCCACATCATTTTTGACCAACTCGGGGCCTCCGTTATCAGCAATTAGGTACTTCCCAGTGCTCGACCATCGAGCTAGGAATAATATAAACATCATTAGAAGCAACTCGAGTTGCAGAAAAAATGAACGCCAAACCGGCAACGAAGGATTACGCTCCTCGCAAGCGACGATTTAGCATTGATTAAAATAACAAACAGCGAACCTGTTGGCAGTTAGCATTTAGGTAACATTGAGCTCAGAAACAATGTCAGCATATTATTGAGTTGATAATTACACTGATGCTGCACTTCATTGCCTGACGGAAGACAGCCAATGCCGTTTAGTGGCAGCTATAACAGCTCGGTTAACTATTTCACAAAAACCGTTGGCATTAGCTTATAACAAACCATCCCCTTATGACGTCATTTGCCTTCGGAGGGGTGCCCCGCTCCTCTGTCGGCGTCATTTGCATACCCAGAAAGACGCTCTCTCCTCTCCGCTCTTCGCTAGTCACTGGTTCGAGTAGCTCGGAGCCGAGTACGAGTTGATACCGCTGTCGTAGTACGTGCTGATTGGTGTACCGCTGGTGACGTCATAGTTGGGCGTGACCGGGTAGAACATGGCCTTCTTGTCGTACAGGTTGACGGGCGGCAGGCCGGATATACCTGTGGATGACGTCACATGGTGAGGGGCGGAGCCACGACGGGGAGGCGGCGCGTGGCGCCCCCGGGCGGGCGGGAGAGCTGCGGGCGCTCGGCCGACCGACCGCTTCTGGTCGGCGCGGCTGGCCCAGCATCAGGACGGGCATTGATATATAGTAAACTATGCTGTAGTATGTAGGTAAGTGTGTTCACTCATGGTATACAATTATTAGGATTCAGAAGCTCTCTATCGCCAGCGTGCTCCGAGCCATCGCGAAAAAAAAACTATAAGGGGAGGTACTCCCCCTCCCCCTCGGCCTCCCACCAGGGGGCACTCCCCCTTCGGCCGGCGAGGGTTAAAAACTGATAATGGCAGACGCATTTGAAGTTTTGGAGTTTTTGAAGCCTAAATGACATGAAATACGTAACTAAAATGTCATTTTATCAAAATCATTCGGATGGATTTCGTTTACGTTTTCAGGGAGTGTTTCGAATTGATATATGATAAGGTATGGAATGTTTGATGTAGCTGGCTTAACGCGTCTAGATGCTATTTGCAAAATAGGTACAAGAGGGGCATATTAACCCCCTCCTCAGCGGAGCGTGTAACCCATGTGACGCGTGCGACGGAGCCGTTGACATTTCCTAGAAATTATTTCATCCGATTTACGTAGGGTGACATGAAATAGTGACGGACAGCGTGACGAAGTTACGGACGGTGTGACACAGTAGCGAAATATGTGACGGAGTAATGGACGGACGATGGGATCTAATAGCAGACTGCGTGACACAGTAGCGGTCGAACTGTGTGACACGGTAGCGGTCGAACTGTGTGACACGGTAGCGGTCGAACTGTGTGACACGGTAGCAGGCCCAGCTCACGCGGCCATATGGCAGTGACGCCCAGTGTTGTTGAATCACAAGGAACGGTGATTTACGGGGTGAGTCCCCCGCCGAGCCGAGAGGCCACCCAGACATCGACCTCTGCGCCGCAGCGTGCACCCGGTACAAACCCGGTACAACACACTGTACCACACCGTACAACAGCCGGTACAGCACCCGGTACAGCACTGCGACACCCGGTACAACACCCGGTGCAACACCCGGTACAACACCCGGTACAACACACGGTACAACACCCGGTACAACACCCGGTACAGCACACGGTACAGCACCCGGTACAACACACTGTACAGTGCACGATATAATACACGGTAAAACGCACGGTACAACACACTGTACCACACCGTACAGCACCCGGTACAGCACACGGTACAACACCCAGTACAGCACCCGGTACAGCACACGGCACAGCACCAGGTATATACAGCACACTGTACAGTGCACGATATAAACACGGTACAACACCCGGTACAACACCCGGTACAACACATGGTACAAGGCCCGGTACAGCATCATGTACAACACCCGATACAACACAAGGTACAGCACGTGGTACAAAACCCGGTACAACACACGGTAGAACACATGGTACAACACAAGGTACCTACAGCGCGCGGTACAAAACCCGGTACACCGCACAGTACAACACCCGGTACAACACACGGTATAAACAACACCCGGTACACCTCATGGTACACCACACGGTACAACACCCACATATACCACGGGAGGCGGACGCACATTGCATGGTGCACACGGCACACCTCATCAAAAGCTCAACAGCACCTAAAACGCATGTCAAGGGAAATGAGCATGCACAAGGTCTTGTCCCACCCTGTACTCGGTAAGTTGACAGGTGAACGCAAACCAATGGAAAAGCTGAAGTCCATCCATGCAGGCGCAGGGGACATGTAATTGTAGGAATTAGTTAGAACAGAGGCCATCCATGTATAGTGTGAGAAAATCATTAAGGACAAGAAGAACTGATGCTGAGGATGGTTAACTTCAGCTTCATTTAGTTCAACATTGCACCACTTCAAATTTGCTCAGAATTATCCCCGATGCAAAAAAAAAATCAGCTTGTGATTTTCGACCTGCCAATTGCCATTTTAACTTCTCCCATAGGACCTGTTCGGCCTGTATGACCTTAGGACGCCATAGCTCGTGGCCACTGGTTGCAGCGCTATTTCGGTTCATATCGGCACGACATCGATAAACAGCCGGGCCGTGGCTGGGCGGCGTCGGACGGCCGGGAGCGCGTCTCCGGGCGGCGCGCCGGCACGGCCCACCCGGAGAGCGCGAGCGGGCCGCATCCTGGAACAATGCATCAATCTCTCCGCCCGGCCGGCACGGGCCAAACAAACGCGCCCGTCCTCACCGCGCCAGTAAACTGTTGAAAACGGTGGTAAACCGACCAGCCTCGACAGAGTGCGCTCTTGGCGGACGCGCGCCGGGCAAGCGCGATCGGTTCGGGTCTTTTCTCAGATGAGTCAGCCGATCTTGGCTGTCTTTGAGGGAAGGCTAGATTTCAACTCCGAATGGAGCTTCTCTGAGGTGCAGCGTCTGAGCTTTTGAAGGAGGTTGTCCCTCGGGCGCTTCTCGCTCTGGTCTGAGGTTATGCCACAGAGAGTGGATGGGCGCGGCGGAGAGCGGCTGGGAGAGCGACCCTCTCTCCGTGCAGCCCGTGTCCGATGGCGCCGGAGACGCCACAATGACAGGCAGGCCGTTCGCGTCACCGGGACGGCCGTTATCCAAACAGGGACAGTAGCGCTGGCGGCGGGTTACGTTACCCTGCTCCCCACGCGGCGGCCTCGGACAGCAGCCGGCAGCATGGTCCGCAACCACCAGCTCGGCGAGGATCGCACTGCAGGCCAGTCGAGGGCGCGGCCCATACACTGCAACACAGGCGTGGGAAACGGCCCATCCACCTTCGCATCTCAGGGCACAGCGCGGTCTCAGCAGCTCAGCATCGTAGCTGCATCGGTAAATGCTGCTTTAACCCATAGACCAGCCGTGCATGGTTTATCCCAGACGACGCCTTTATTGAGACTTGGCAATTGGTTGTCGACATCCTTTCGCGATGCCACTCTCAGAATACGTAGCCTAAATACATATGAGCTGTTCATCGAAACATCAATATGCATAGGTATCTCTTTTTTTTGGCAGCTTATATTCTCCGGTAAAAGACGAATGAAAAATCGGACTAACTGTAAAAACTTAACTATTGAGTTCTGGGTTGGCGATGGCTTTGTGTCGCAAATTATGTGTCGATCTCTGTGCCACAGTGTGCTATATGCATGTGCTGAAACCTCTGTTTGTCTACGGATACTGACCCGTGCTGACCTCTGTTTGTCTACGGATACTGACCTGTGCTAAACTCTGAGTCGCAGTGCAGCGAGGGCAGCGGGTGCGGCGGGTGGCCGTGGGAGGTGATATGCGGGGACGCTGTGGACATGGGTGTTAGCGTGTACCCCGAGGACGGAGCGGCCGAGGTCGACAGAGAGCCGCCGGCGCCGCTCGACGGGTCGGCAGAGGGCGGAGAGAGAGAGCCCGGAGAGCCTGCAGACACACACAGACAGAGCGACAGAGTTAGTGACGGACAGAGCAGCATTAGCCGAGAGAGACGACAGGGAAGACGCGGAGAGGGCCGCAAAACACAACACATCGGCATTCAGAGAGTATGCAGAGAACGACGCATACATAGATAATACAGTCAAGATTAACGTTATCGTTGAAAAGATGTAAGAACTGAGCAAAAGCAAAGTTATCTGAAGAAAAAGGGTTTACACAAAGTCATTCATATAGAAAATTATCAGCTGGAAACAATTAAAATGACAACATCTTGCATGCCAGCCAATATGACATGCTTTCAAAGACTATTACGACTGTCTTTATAGGTTCTTCAACACTGCAAGATGATATACCGATTTCCCTTCACGAAAAAATAACCCTATCAGTGGCAGGATATTGTGTCCCCTCTCCCTCCTCTCATGTTTTTATTGGATATCTCAAAAAAGGGCTGCGCTAGGAGATTGCACTTTTTCAGAATTTTCCTCAAAATCGATTTCTTACATGCTGTGGAAAATATTTCGGTGGCTTATATCGTGCGGTATTTTGAAAAGTGGTGGCACTAGTGCAAACACGCAGGCTGAATGGCACTCAGTGGCACACCGCACAGGTTGAATACCAGTCTTATCTTTGGCAGAGGATGAATATGGAGACACTTTTAGTTGCACCTTTTCACGTGACAACATGTTATAGTGTGAAAAGAGAAGTGTGCTCAATTGGTATGGGAAATAGATTGCCTTGAAAATGCAGCAGTTGTGATGAATAATGACAATTGATATCATTGATTCACCATAAGTAAGTGTATGGTGAAATGGCATAGGTGGCACCAGAAGCAGAAAAATGGGGAAATACTATACAGAAACAAGTAATAATCTTTACAAGAATCTTCCTGGCGACAAAAAAAGCAGCAGCCGCGACCAACAATAAAGTGTTTGTCGTTTGACAATCGTAGACGCGTTCAGGGAAGTTATGATAGGCAAATTGATGTAAGACATGGCCAATAATATCGAATGCCTTCATAGAATCACCGTGCATTTCTTTTTCTTTTGTATTTCAATGTAAGAGCTGCAGGGGCTTAGCCAAGGGGGGGCATAGGGGCCATGCCCCCCCCCCCCTGGAGCCCAAAAGGGCACCCATCGCGGTGTCATAAGTACGGCGAGGTGCACAATAAAAGTAGCGTAAGGGCCCCTCGGGGCACTCCACTGGGTTCGTGGGGGCCTTGCGGGCCTGAGACCTTGCCGCTAGGGCCCTCTGGGCTCTCTTTCATTGGTTATAAAAGGGCCCTTCGGGCCTGAGGCTTTGCTACTGGGCCCCTCGGGGCCCTCTCCATTGGGTTCGCAGGGACCCTTCGTAATTTTAAGGTAGTTAAGCAAATAGCTACGTCATGAAATTAAGAAAATGTTTGGCCCCTTCGCCCACATGGGCCCCTTTCGGTTTGATTGCCCCCCTCCCCCCTGAAGAAAATCCTGGCTACGCCCCTGCCCTTAGACGGCTTACATGACCCTCAGACGGCTTACGAGGCTCTCATGGGCTGTAGGGACCTTTGGCGGTCTGAAGGACCCTCATCTGACCTACAGGGCCCCAAGACCGCCTTCAGAACCGGCTGAGCGACTCTATGAAGCTATTCGTGGGCCTATCTAGCAGGGAGGGACCCATGGACTGCTTGCCCCTCAGTTCTAACATTTTTCTTCTTTTTTTTTAAAATTTATTTGGGCCCCCTCCAAAAATAGTGGATGAAATCCGATGACTTTTTGGATTTTGAGGGGGTTTACCTTGGACCCCTGTAAGCTTGGCCCCCTCCTGGAGGAAATCCTGGCTACGCCCCTGAAGAGCTGTCGCACAAATCAGCGCATCAGCAAATATCACTCATAGCACGCCAAAACAGAAAGAGGTTTCTTCAAAACGTTATCTGATTTATGACTTTCTGCTTCTTTGCCGGATAGCATTTGCAGTACAACTTGCCTCTCAATTTCAAGAGAAATAGACATATGTAACTATAGGCTATGATTCGCTTACAGCTGACATCTCTTACAGCTGAAACTCATTTAATCTTTATCTGAAAAGCATTGTTGACTACTCTACGGTGCATGAAATGATTCCTATTACTTCATCAAACAAACGGAATGCATTACTTTCAAAGCATCGTATTTTAGATACCTACCTTGGTTTACTGTGTAACAGAAGTTCTGTTTTGCGTGCGAATCAATTACATGCTCTGTTCACGGTAATATGTTGTTGGGAGCCTACAAAATTGTCCCAACTAAGCGGAAAGTACCAAGTGCCACCCAGCCTGCATGTTCACATTGCCGTGAGATCTCAAAGGACTCTCAAAAGTGGAATATAGGACCGCCCGCTGCTCCGGAATTGTCTCATTTTTCACAGTGCATATACCCAATATATATATATATGGTATACCCAATATGTCTGAGGAAAAAAATCCGAAAACTACATTCGTCCAGCGCAACATTCTTGCTGTCAAGTCTGATCATGTTTGAAGCATTATTGGTACATAAAACATTCCTGGCTAATCATAGCTGAACACCATTCCCTGACCTAAGGACCACGTCTAAACGAATTAAACTCCTATAGGCGCATCTAGTTAGGTACTGCGTTGTTTGCTAAGGAGTGAGGCGACAGAAGAAAATGAAAAGGGGCATAACAACTCCAAAGCTATCCTCCATTAGTTGTGTCAAACGTGATGGGGTGACTGATTTTCTATCTAATCAGGCTTTTAGCGATGAACGAATGAGTCGAATGAGATGTAGACACGAACAGCATCACCAAAGTATCATCGCCAATTGCCCTCAGTATGCAGATCCTGGCATTCCTATACTAAATGCTAATAACAGCTCATTCAAAAACAGCATCCTTACGTGATAAAGGATGCTGAGAGAATGCTGCTAACACGTATGTCTGTGTAATTGCGTATGTTTATATCAGGTAGCGCTTTTATTTCTAATAAAAATGCTAATTTTTAAGAGAGATGCAAACATAATTCCGTTTCGTAAGCTTCTATCTTCTCGCTGGGCGTAACCTTTTAAATTGAATTAATTTTTGAAAAGGGTAAGTAAAAAATGAACGGCATTTCCAGATGATGCTCCTGGCTCCATGCATGAGCATTGAACACTACAGTGACAAGGTATTCAAAAGCATACGAATCGCTTAAATGATACTAAGACTATCAACTGCAAATGATAAACAAACAATGAAGGACGCTTTTTAGGACAAATGTTTACGGTGCGCGGTATGCAAAGCCAAACACAGCCATAGTTGAAGCTTCAGAAGCATGTTGTGCGGTTGGTGGCAAATGGACGTTACATTAATCTGTTTGATTTTGTGTATAGTAAAACAGCATGTGCACCGTGTAAATATAGGCACTTATTAATTTTTCAGCCATTGTAATATAACAATTTTCCAGAACGCGCTTTATTACACAACTAACATTTCAACTGCTGTAAACCAATTTACTAAAAAGAACCGTGAATGATGTTTTGCCAAAATGATCATATCCGAACTCTATCCAATATAGGGCATTCATTCGTCATGCTGATTTAACTGATGCTCCGGTATTGACAAAATAAATCCGTTTCGTATGCTTGCATCTTCTCGTTTGGATAAATTAAATGCATTGATTATGGTAAAACAGCATGTGCATTGTGCATCGTCCAAAATCTAAGTACAAAAAAAACTCGTACTTCTTGAAATATTATCAGCATCTTTTCTCATGTAAAAATTATAACTGATTGGGTGAGCGACAACTGAATATGACGTGCTTTAGATGAACCGTAACATACATTGGGTCGGCTCCTAATCTACAAATGAGTAAGCATCCTTTGAGCTGCTGTTTTGTCTACCTTTTAAGCATGGCAGCAACTTCTGTTGATCTACAGATAGACCAGCTTGACCTCGTGATTTGGCAAGGATCGGATCATATAATCGTGCACGGATTGAGCCACAACCGAGGTCCGATGACTCATGATCAGCCCAATGACACCCAGCTCCCCACACTCGGTCCGTGATGACCTGTGACCCACCTTGTTCAGCCGGCGTCGGGCTGTGCGGCGGCCGCAGACAGCCGGTCAGCGGTGATCCGGTGACCCCACTGAGGCCCGACCAGGCCGCCTCCTTGTCGCTGTAGCCCGCTCCGTAGCCGGCGGACGGCTGTAGGCCGTAGTCGTACCCGGCGGGCCCGGCGGCGGCCCCGGCCGGGCCGGCCATGTAGGAGCCAGCCAGGCCGATCAGCGGACTGTAGCTGCCGGCGGCCTGCGACTGGCCATAGGTGCACGCCGTGGGGCTGAGCTGGCTGTAGTCGCCGCTGTAGCTGCCGCTGTAGGTGGGCGGCTGCGCCGACGGCAGGCCCTGCGCCGCGTCGTAGCCGGTGCTGGAGATGGCGCCGCCGGCCGGGAAGTAACCGAACGGCTTCAGCGGCGAGTGCCGGCACTTGCGTCGGAAGCCGCGCGGCCGGCGCCGCGAGCTGCCCTCCTCGAACATGTACTCGGCGGACGGGTCGAGCGTCCAGTAGTGGCCCTTTCCCGGCCGGCCCAGGCCCTTGGGCAGCTTGATGAAGCACTCGTTCAGGCTGAGGTTATGTCTCACCGAGTTCTTCCAGCCCTGGTAGCTGCCCTTGAAGAAGTCGAAGCGCTCTTGCAGGAAGCGGTAGATCTCGCTCAGAGTCAGGCGTTTGGTGGGCGAGTTCTGAATGGCCATGTGGATGAGCGCGATGTAAGAGAAGGGTGGCTTCTCCTGGCGACGCACTCCCGGTGCTCCGCGCTTGGTCGGCTTCTCGGTCCCGGACTTCTCCTGCTCGGTGCCTGATCCTGAGCCGGCTGCTCCTGAGGCGGCTCCTGCTGCGGATCCTCCTGAGCTGGCTCCGGTGGCTCCTGCGGCCGCCATCCCTTCCTGTGTCGCCTCCCCCTCCGGTGGTTTATCGGACTCTTCTGAGCACGGCATCCCGTTAGTGTCGTACGTGGTCAGACTCTCCATCTTTATGGTGGCCTGTTTTAGCGAGCTCGGCGAGTAGGGGAAGCCTTCCTTCTCCCCCTCCACTGGAGATTGTTCGTATAGCTTTCCCATGGCATCAAACTTGCCTGGCTCGTCGTACGGTTTGTGAATCGGCAGATTGCCGTCTGTGTCGTAAGCTTTGTGCACGGGAAGCCGATCGGTGTCGTACGGCTTGTGCATCACGTCTCCGTCGTAGCTGTCGTGCACAGGAAGGCCATCTGTGTCGTACGGTTTGCTCATACTGTCGCCGTTGTACGCCTTATGCATTCCGTCCGCGTCGTAGCCCTTGTGCATTCCATCGGTGTCGTATGGTTTACCCATCGGCATTCCATCCGCCTCATAACTCTTGTGCATTCCATCCGGGTCGTACTTGTGCACGGTGAGAGCGCCGTCGGTGTCATATTGTTTCGGGACGGAGTCGGCCGGCTCGGTGTCGAACTTGGCGGCCTGCAGGGGCGGCGGCGAGGGTACGGCGCCAGCCGGCGAGCTCTGTCGCAGGTACCGGCTATCAGAGCGGTACGCCGCCTCGTACCGCAGCTGGGTACCGGTACCGTCGTCCCGCAGCGCGCCGCGGTCGTCGCCAGAGTGCGGCGGCGCGGCGAACTCGGCGCGGGGATGCAGAAAGCCGCCGTCGGCGCCGGTAGGCCACGCCTGCACCGGCCGAGGGAACTCACCGTCTCGCATCTCGTAGCTGTCGCCGTAGCCGTCAGGCGGAGCGAGGTCGTAGCCCGCCTGCTTCACGGCCTCGTAGCTCGCTGGAGCGGGAGACTGGCCGCCGTAGTCGGTCTCTGGCGGCGCTGGATGGCCGTACCCGGCTGGAGCGGGAGACTGGGTGCTGTAACCAGCCGGAGCCGGTGACTGGGTGCCGTAACCAGCAGGGGCGGGTGACTGAGTACCGTACCCGGTCGGCGCCGGGGACTGGGTGCCGTAGTCGGCCGGCTCCGGCACGCTCTGGTGGCCGTAGATGTGCGGGTACTGCGGGTAGCTGAGCTGGCCCGCCTCGTCTCCCAGTCGGTGCTCGATGATGGTCGGTATCTGTATGGCCGGCGGCCGCAGCTCGCGGCTGTAGTCCATGTAGACCGGCTTGGTCGGCTCGGCGGCCGCCATCGGCCCGGCGGCATCGTGCGTCTCCGACTTGCCACTGTCCATCGTGCTCTGTTTTGTTTACCGAAATTTAATAATATTTATCCTGGACGGGATCGGTTTATAAGCAGTCACGGCCGTAAAAAAGAATAATCCAAATAGTTTACGGCAATCGCCAGTGCAGGGACGACCCAGCGACACCGGAGCCGATCAACAGAGGAGTCACTTGAGAGGAGGGAGACCACTATAGCCGGGACCGCGCGCACCACCGCCACCGCCACCCGACTTTCGGGAAACGCCGGCGTCCTCCCTGCTCACGGGCGCGATAATGCTCGGAGCCTGTGACATGTCATAGATGGCCCGACTGTCCGCCAGGCCACGCCCCCGGCGCTGGCGCATGCGCACAGGCCGCCGCGGGTTGCGGTGGAGCCGAGTCGGCGGCGGCGCGGCGGCCGACGGCGGCCGACGGACCCGTACAAAGATCACATTGTGCCCAGAAAAAGCGATCGGTGCCCAGCTCGCAGGGAGGAATGGCCGCCGCGACGGCCAACAAAGGCGCCGATCGGCCCGAAACGCGCCCGTTTACGCGGCCGTTTAGTTAATGGGCCCCCGATGGCTCCTGTAACGACTGTTTGGGGGACCGCGCATCCACAAAAAGACTTGTGTATTTTCTCGGATGCAACACTTCTAAACAGATTTCACCTGAGCATACCGACGGGGTCAAATGTTGACCAAACTAGCGGGGTTATGTCGTCCGGTTACATGGAGCGCTGTCGGCTGGCTCGAAATAAATACAGAAAGCGATGGGGGACACAGTTTCACGAACAAAACTCGCAGCATCATTGATTTCATGATGCCACTTGGCACTTACCACAATTCTTTCAATCTTTTCGATACAGTTTTGGCTTGAATAACTTACAGAGCAGAATGGTGTTGTGTGTAAATTCACATTTAGCTGTGTCGTGCACTGTTTTTAGGCATCTTAGTGCCCACAAATGTTTCTTTGATTATTTTTTAAAGGACCCTTTCCTTTTTCGCATGGCGTGACTATCACCCTTCCTTTTTTAAGACAGGATGTAGCTTTAGCGTGTATCCTTTTGCACAGCAGCAATACTAACGCTAATTCGTACCTATACCACTTTTTCAAGGGTGATATGAAAGTGAATGACACGAAACGTTGGCTGGTTTTGATGTTTTTATCTTACATCATACACGAATTGATTTGTCCAATTCAAATATCAAAGCTAACGCTCTTGACATAAATCAATTATGAAGGATGCCAGTTCCAGTCAAGTGACATCGCTTGAAAATTAATACTATCATTTTCCTGTTTTTTATTCATTACATAGGTATCACATGCCTGCATATCGGAATACCTTACCATAAATGTCTTCCTTATTTCGCTTTAGCCTCATTTCAAACCGTGTATTAGTGAATACCGAGATCAGATTCACGAGCCTGGAATTCATTCAGTCATGATCGGTATTCTTTCATCGCTCATCCGTTCAACTAATAAAAGAGAATTAGGTGGAAATGTGTTGGTGCCCTTCGCCGAAATTCTATTGTCTATTTATTAGCTCTTTCTAAGGCTTTATTCCCAAGTGTTTAGGTCATAGCCACTCAACAATTATTGAAGTAAAATCACATCAAGACTCTTTACATCCCGAACTGATCAGTTATTCCCATGATGTAATTTATCGTGACCCTCGGTGCAGCCGGGTGACCTGAGATGCGCGGTCGATCAGTCACACCTGCCCCGGCCAGGTACCAGTCAGCTCTGATTATTTCCACACCTGTAACTTTCACACTGAATTTCTGAACCGGTCGCTCCGTGCCGCCCGGCCTCTAACACAAATACACAGTTTGTGTGCGGCGCCGTCCGAGCGAGCGGCTGTTTACGGCGGATCGCCGCCGCCGTGGGGCGCAGAGCACGTGCCACCATCGCGGCCTGGTGCCGCCGGCCCCCCTCCGGACCCCGTCCCCCGGGACCCCGGGACCCTGCCGATCGCCACGGCCCCGCGGAACCCTGGTGATCGACAGGGATCTGGAAGTCGCACCACAGCCCGGGGCTTCCCGATCCTGCGCACTGGCTGCTGGCTTTTCACAAATATTTTCATTTTGAAATTCTGCTGGAAAATATCATATCAACAATACCAGAGACGACGCAAAAGAATGATAAAACAAAGAGCCGAACACTGAACAGTTACGGGTCACGACAACGTTACCGAGGCCGTGCCAACATCTGCAAGTCCAGTGAAATACGATAAAAATAGGTAATGTTTAATGTCGTAGGATAAATAATGCATATGCTGTAGAAGCAGCACCAACGAGGTGAAAGCTTTAAATCCAGTTCATGTAAGAATACTACCCAATCACTTTTTTCGATGGACACAGCGTGATTCTTGTCCACGTGATAATCCTGCCGTGAAATTCTAGCCATTAGTGAGGGAGAGGGGTGTGCATTTCTGGCGTTCCCCGGGGTCCTCCACGTGCCAGGCAGCGTGCCTCGGGAGGGGGCAGCCGCTGCGCCAGCGGGAGACTGACAGCCCGATCCCGGGCGGCGGAAGGGAGCGACCCGGCGAGGGTCCTGACACGGCCGGCTGGCACTCTCGACAGAACACCACCCGGAAGTAGGCACGAGGAAGTCCAGCGACAAGGTTGGAACGACGAGGTCTTATTTCATTCCGAGGAAATGCATGGCTAGGTTTGCCTTAAAGTCAGTGAACTAGCCCTTACAAGTCACGGAGCCTGAAGGACCACCTCTAACCCTGCGTTGAGAGCGCCCCGGCCGGCAGCCGGCCGTTTCACGTGGCGGTGGATACAGCGTCACTGGCGGGTAGGCTGCACCGCAGCGCACCTGGTGTGCGGCGGGACAGCCTACCTTACAGGTAGCCGACTGCGTCCGAGCGGGGCAGGCAACTTTTAGGGAAACGTGAGCGAGCGCGCTTTACGGAATAACACAAGCGTAATGCTAGATACCGTGATTACTTACGAGAGATAAATTCTTATATTTCTTTCCGAATGACTATAACCTAGCGGGGTATGGCCACTCGGCTCCCGTGACTGCGGCGGCACCGGTGCCTAATTTGTGCTGAACCTCGTCTCAGCTCAGGCCCCGACAACCCGTCCATTAAGCTGCAGAGCAGAGCAAAAATACGGCCTGTATAAACAGCCCCGCTCGGCCATATGGTCGACTGGACGGCGGCGCCCGCTCGGGGCCGCTCGGGGCCGCTTTCGGCCGCTAGGACCTGCTCGGGTGATAGCCGGGGATCGGGCTCGGCAGCCGATCTGCTCAGATTTAGGCGCCAGGGGACAGGGTATAGGGTTGGCTGGGTTCAACAAGCCTCTGGCTATAAGGTGGTGGGCACCTGCGGGAATGGAAATTCTGAGCTATACGTTAAATCCAAGTAGAAATTTTCTCTGTGTTGCATATCGCATTGGATCTTTTAGGGCACATATTGTCATATTCTACATGAAAACTATTCTGCGCTGGAATTAACGTTACGTAGTGGAAACATTCATGCAAGGTGAAAAGTGTTGTCATAAAATATAAATTACAAAAATGTAACTTTCAGTGTAAGATATCACGCTTTTGCATGTCACACATTACATGTCTCAATTTCAAGCAAGGCAAACAACTAAGACCTAACCTTATCACGCTGCTGTTTATCATCCGTGCTGCGTGGTGTCGCCATTTCACGGCGCATTGACTGGTTCGGCGGGACATCCTAGCTCACCGGTAGCCGACTGTGTCCGAGCTACGGGGAAGCATAACTCCACGAAAAGTTTCTCGAAATTCCAAAAAAATCCTGGATATCAAACAATATCAAAATCTTTTTTTTTATTTCTAAGATATTTAGATTCCTGATGCACTGCTGTCCCTAGTGAAAAAGTCCTTAAGGATTTCGCCAGAATCCCCACAATCCTTAAGGATCCATAAGGACCCATAAGGATCAGATATGAAATCCTTAAGGACTCTACGGACCCTCTTGAATCCTTAAGGACGCATTCGCCGATCCGTAAGGATTTTAGGGCGATGTTTGGTATCCTTAAGGATCGCTCAGTATTCCGTAAGGAAATTGCTACTTGCTAGTGTCGCTTAATCCTTCAGGATAGCCGATGCAGCCAGTACGTCAATCATTATGGAGTGATTGAATCATCCCTTCTATTATTCCGAGCTCCGTATCCGATAATTTCTTAGCCATATGACATATACGGCATGTAAAAACTTTGTGACGGACCAAAGCAGCGTTCGCTATCATCATAGACGCGGGAACCGGGAGGCGAGGGGGGCAGTGGGAGCAGCTTGCCCCCACTTTTGCGCTGAACTTTGAAATTAAATATTTTCGATTTATGACATTTCTCGATATTGCGAGTGCCAAAACCGGTGATTGTGAGCCAGGGATAACAATTTGGCTATCTTAACTCAGAATTAATATTCAGCTGGGATGGTCACCTAAATGTTCACGCTGGGTTCACCCAGACTCAAAATCGGATAGACGAATAGTTCTGATAAAAAGTACCAATTGGTATCTCAACCAAGTGCCACAGTATGCATGTATCGTATGGCCTTAGTGCCACCGGTGCCACAGTGTTTGCGCTGTGCTCTTTCAGAGACCGTACCGACTGGAATTTAGCGACCGCTGACCGTTTTAAAGACTGTACGGGCGGCAGCGGGCGGTCTGATCCTCGCCTCCGGCAAGAGGGGAGACCGCGCGTCCCCCTGTCGCATTGTGCCGCTGCCGCTCGCGGGATGCGGACGAGTCTGTTGAGTGTGTTGTGCCGTCTGCCGTCTCCTCTTCGGGCCATGTAAGTCTCTGCCATGCTGTGTATCAATGAGATAATTGATCCTAGTTATTGCATTGATAGATACAAAAACCAGCGCTGAAACGTTCACTTCAATTAATGGCGATCGTCGTCGTCATTCATTTGGCTGCGGCAAATGAAAGTACTACCGGTAGCGTCTTTTAGCGTCATGCCTTGGAACGAGGCCCAGGTAAATATGTATAATAGAATGGATTCAGGGTAGTAGGACGTAGGTGCATATGTGATGCATTGCTAAATGAACATACACAGGCATCTAAGCTGGAAATGACTGAACTGAATTTACTCAAAGGCTCACCAATATTCTTTGGCTGGGACTGCAGTCTAAGCCTAAGAGGAGAATTCGTGAGCCTTTGAGTAGGTATTGTTGATCAGTATATTACTGTTATTACATAGGAATATCCGCCTTGTTACAGGAACGCAGGATGCAAGACTGGACAGGCGACGGGCGACTCAACCGCTCAAGATGTGTAGAATGTGGATGGCGGAGGAGCGGCGGCTGAGGACGTGTGACGTGATAATATCTGAAGCGTGGCTGACTCGAAAAAGTGTAGACTTATCTTCA